ACTCCTAAAAATCGATGTTTCTGCTTTCGACATTGTTTGTTCTGATACTTCTAAAGTTTTGGTTAATAAGACTTGGCCTTTAAATAGGCACACCTAATCTGATTGCATTTATTAAATGAATATTCATATATTTGCTTTATTTTTCCTAGGTTCCGTTCAAAAGAATTAGATGGTTCCAACTCAAGATTGAAAGATGAGTGTCGTTCAACTTCAGTAGATACAATTAGAGAAATGTGTACTGTGGGAATTAGAATATCCTCAGATTTGTTGCTTGTTTTAAAGAAAGATAACAAGGTTTTTCCTTTCTTGACAGACAGACGATTTTGTTCCATACTAAAATCTAAGAGCATAAAAAATAAAAAGCAATCAGCATCCTAACAATCCAAAAACAATCCACAAGCAACAATCTAACTACTTATCTAACAGTTCAAGAATATTATAATTAGTTAACAATTTGACACCAAATTAAAAAAACAAATCCTAATAAACTTATACTCCAATGTACAATGCAATTTGAAGTGCTCAAGCTCGAGCGAAATACCTACTTATGTAGTTCGTTGCCACCAAGATGAATGGGTAATTAGATGTATTATTAAGATTGTTGCAATGCTTTCAAAAAACAAATTAATCAAATGCCAAATAAATAAATAAATAAAATGAACAGAAGTTTGATTAAGAACTATAAGTTTGTAACAAACAAAAATCATAAACATAAGTTATAAAACCATAAACATAACATAAGTAAAAAATATCAAACATAAATAGTAAAAAATATGAACACCAAAACTTCAAAATATGTTATAATTTATAAATCCACATTAAACCCTCAAAGTTTAAGAAACACAATGAACGAAAAAAAAAAATTTATTTTGATATAAGTATTAAAAAATGCGACAATTAGTAACCAATAGTCGAAGGAGTTGCTGGTTGAAACATGGGGTTCGAATCAAAAGAGTTGTTGGCAAAAATTCTTCAGACTTCAGAGCTAGTATCTTATTTGTGGTCGAAGGTCAAAAAGTCTCTCCAGTGAATTGGTAGCTAGGGAAAAGAATAAAAAGATTAAAGTTATTCAAAAGATTGGGGAATTTTTGCTTTTCAAAAATTTTCAATTGATGAGAATTGCGGAATGAAGAAATATGTGGAAAAAATAATGCTATTTGCGAGTACTCACTGTTGTAGTCATGCATGTGACGATTAGTGATTTGATATATGAGGTAAGAAAAATCACCACCCATGTAGGACGCCACGTAAGACAACTACTGCAGTGAGTGATTATAAATAGCATTACTCATGTGAAAATTGCACTTAACCCTACTTTTAAACTATCAAATTCAAAATTAAGATCTAATAGTTTTTTTAAAGAAAATAAAAAAAATCAGATGATAATTTAAAATTTAAATATTAATAATATTATTAAAAAATTAAATTATCCTACATATTCACCCCACTGCCATCTACCCTACCTAATTTCCCTCCCAAACCTTAATTATTTCCCTCTTTCTATGCCTCTATAATCTCTTTTTATTACCCTCCCTATCCATATATCGGAGTTGGAGCATCTGCATGAAGCGGTGCCCAAGATGACGTCGCTCTAAAGAAATAGGTGATGAGATGCTGATATAGAGCGACAATGCTCTCACCAATCGTCTCACTTTGTTGTGGCGCAAGCAGCGACATCGTGGTATCAGACCGATGAAGCTCGACGCCACACGCAGAATGGCAGATTCAACGATAGTGGTAGTGGCGTCACAGCTTCACAACGATGGCGCTCGACGTTGCACGCTATTAGAATTTATTGAATGAGAAACAATGTATTAAACTCCATGAAGGAGAAGATGTATTACACGCCATGAAAAGAGGAAATGAACACTCCATGATAGGAGGAAGAAACACTCCATAAATGGAGGAAATGAAACCTCCATTGAAGGAGGGATTGGAAGGAAACAATCCAATGATATATTAATGCATACAAGGGGTTTATTTATAGAGAAAATGGTTGACAAACAAACAAACTAACTTCTAACTAATAACAGCTTTGACAGCTGGAGACAAAACCAAAACTGATCTGTTGAAATCAGAAGTCTCTAGAATCTGGTGGTTAGACATGCTGGAAGACTCTGAATTCTCTAACTCACCCCCTTCAAGGTGGACTATGGAGATCAACAATAGTCCATCTTGAAGATTAAAGTGTGAAACATGGATACAAGTGAACTTAAGAAGCCTTCTTCATTTGCTGCAAAGAGCGACAATGTTGCTGCTTCCAAGAAGAAAGAAAAATCTGACTCTGACGATGAGAGCAATTGTAATGAAGAAGATGCTGTAGATGAGAAGACAAATGAATCAAGTGATGATTCTGGTTCGAAAGATGAGTTTAGTTCAGATGAGGATGTTGGTGCAGCTACAAATGGCTCCGAGGATGCTACAGAGAAGCAAAATGATTCCAGTAAGGAATCAGAATCTGAAACACTAGAATACGAAACATTGAAGACAAACCATGTTGTTGGTATTGAACTAAAGAAGAAGTCTTGAACTGGTGGATGATCTGAAGCCAAATTTACCTTCAGATTTCATCAACTTTGATACCAGTAAAATGCCAAAATAGAAAAGATCATAATCTGCTTTCATTTGAGCAGAAACACAGAAAATGAGATGAATTAAATATCAAAATAAAAAACACAGTAGCAGGAAGCAACATGGCTCTGATACCATATTGGAATTTATTGAATAAGAAACAATGTATTAAACTCCATAAAGGAGAAGATATATTATACTCCATGAAGTGAGGAAATGAAAGCTCCATGATAGGAGGAAAAAACACTCCATGATAGGAGGAAATGAAACCTCCATGGAAGGAGCGATTGGAAGGAAACAATCCAATGATATATTAATGCCTACAAGGGGTTTATTTATAGAGAAAATGGTTGACAAACTAACTTTCCAACTAACTTCTAGCTGATAACAGCTTTGATAGCTGGAGACAAAACCAAAACTGATCTGTTGAAATCGGAAGTCTCTAGAATCTGGTGATTAGACATGCTGGAAGACTCTGAACTCTCTAACACACACAGATTGGCAAATTCAACGGTGGTTATCTTTGTTCTCACCGTGCACAATCTCGTCATTGCAGATTGTTAGATTCTATGAATATTATCTTGAAGAAACAATTCTTGATTTGGGTTTGTAATTTGTTCTCGTCGTGTGCAGGGCATCGCGGCTTTAGACCTTTTGTTGTTGAAATAGCATGGTTTGAACTGCAACTACCAGACAGTGGTGATCTTTGTTGGTGGCGATGAGGTGATGGTCTTTGTATGATTTTTTGTTAGTGGTGGTGAGGTGGTGATCTTTGTTAGTGATAATGTCATCATTGAATAATGGGATCTGGGTAAATTTTGGCCGTGAACTGGTGCCGTAGTTTTGAGGTAAGTTTTGTTGGTTGTGTTTGCAGTTTATGGCAGTTGTTGTGGTGGTGTTGGTTGGTGTAAGAGACGGCCTCTGTGGTCGCGGTCGTGGTGGTGATTGATTATTTTGGATATGTTTTTTTTGTTGGTTTTTGTGATGGCGGTGCTTGTATTAGTGCCGGTGCCGGTGTTGGTGTTGGTGTTGGTGGCGACAGCAGTGACTGTAGTGGCAATGGTGCTTCTCACAAATGGTGGTAGTATAGTTCACGAATTTTTTCATTGATTGTAACTAATAAATTGGTTTAGTGTGATTAATAAATAATATGTGACTAATGAAAACGAGAATTTTTGACCTATAAATAATATGTGACTTAAAAATTTGTTAAGGTGTGACTAATAATTTGATAATTTGTGATCATGTAATAAATTGTGACTTATAAAATTTGTAGATTTGTGATCATTAAATGAACTATGATCTATAAATTTTTTGATTTGTGACTAATGAACAAATTGTAGCATATGGAAATTTTGATTTGTGACCTATTTAATTTATGATTTGTGATCGAAAAATAATTTGTGACCGATTAATTCGATAATTGTGACCAAATTGCATAGAATTGTGACCTTAATATATTTAATTTATAAAATATATACTTAATTAATTATTTAATAAATAAAATTTAATTAATATCTAATTTTTGAAATTTTAAACCTTGTTTCTTAATTTTGAAGTGACTGATACTTAATCTCTTATTTATGAAATTTCCCAAGAAATATTTTTTGCGTGTAATTGGGTAATTGGCTACTAGAATGCTAAAACAAATCATTGGGCCAAGTATTAAAATAAGATATTGATTAATGGTTAGTGGGCTGTGGACTATAATTGAAATATTTTCAACATTTTCTTGGGCCTTTTGGACATGGGCTTAGGCAGTATTGGACTACAGTGCAGTACTACCCTCACCTCAATCTGTCTCTAGTTACTCATTGGTTTTGATAATCAAACTGTTTAAGTTTCAGGTGGTGTCGAATTCATTTTTCCAAGAAATTATGATATAACTTAATGTAGAATTATGTTACTTGTAGTAATACTACTTAGTCAATGTGACACTAGGTATTAATTTAAATGAAATGGAAATTAAATGATTTATTTAATTATACATATCATTTAATGATACATTAGCACCACATAGATGGATTATAATCCCAGTTGGAATAAATAGTATTACTCACTTTTTTTATCAGATTGGTTTACGGGTGCTGAGTTGACAACATTTTACAAGCTGGTTGAAAAAAGCACAAAGTTAAACCAAACTATGATATCTTATCAACGTAGCACCTATAAACCAATCTGTTAAGTACATGTATACAAGTAGCATTCTTGTTTAATGTATTGAGCAATTGAGTCGATTGACATATGAAATGGTGATCATAGCATTATTCTATCTTAAATACTACAATTCTGGAGTAATGAACTAGGAGGTCCATTTACATATGAAATGGTGATCATAGCATTATTCTATCTCAAATACTATAATTCTGCTATGCTGCCAAGGAAGGTGTCCTCACAATAGGGAAGGCAGGATTTTTTGGCTTTTTTTATTCACATGGTTTATGCATGAATCCCACTCAACAAGGGTGTCAATTTTTTCTGACAAAGAATTTTAATTCTAAATACTAAGTTGGTCTCCATGCAACAGTTGAAGAAGTCATTTACATTAAAATTTATGCCATTCGTTTAAAATCTAGATGATCATTGATTTACATGACAGTATATTCTATATACTAGTGGTAATAAATAGTATTATTGGTCAATATACTATTGGTGATAAAAGCATTATTCTCTTGTGACGATGTTGTTGCATTGCCAAATGGAGATAGGGACGAAGAAGAGCTCGAGAAGGAAAACATGAAAGAATGCTTCATCTTCAACGTGACAGATGACTTCTGCGTGTTACGAAAAATAGGCCATCTGGTACTGATTTTGGGGTCCAAGGCCCTCAAGGATGTGAAAATCCAAGGGAACTGGTACGCCCAGCAATATGCACTGATCCTTAGCTTGAATTTTGTAATTTGAGAAGCACCCAAACAATATCCTGCATGTACATAATCTTGGCAGCAATTGTTAGTATATCCATTTCTGGCCGTTTTCAATTAACAGAACTAGCCATTGAAATTATTGGCAGAAATTGTTAGTATATCCATTTCTGGCGTATATGGTATGATTGGAATGAGTATAATCGATAAAGTTAACTTCTTTTTATTCATTAATACCATCCAATGTTGTTATCTATCTCAGCAAACAAGCCAGCAATATTCTGAAGAGACTGACTATATCATAACTTACCATTTTATGATATGCTTGAACACAAAAATTATGCACTTACAAAACTTAAAAAGGTCAACTCTGTGAGATTGTACCTTGTTCATTTAGCCAAGATTTATGCCATTCCTTGGATCCATAATTTGCTTTGTAATGTTCCAAATTATCACTACCATAATGGTTGCCAGTTTTTGTTGACTTAAGTTTCGGCTTTAATGTTTTCGAGCTGAAACTTCTTTGTAATACTGCAAAAAATGATGACTGCGAAGAAAACAGATTGAAGACTCTGAAATGATTTCAGTTAACCTCCAAAGAGAGAACCTTTTGAGTGAGCTCGATCCTGCAAGAAATACAATCCTTTTAGGAATGAACAAAGAAACTCAAGTTGGAACTAAAGTCCATGTAAAATGGTCAATAACTACCTTTCTATGCGTGTCCATCACCGGCAACTTGACTAAATTCATGTATACATACGGCAGGAAATAATGAAAAAATAGCTCAATGCCTGTTTCTCACAGAGGCTTTTGATCCGTGCTATGCATATTTGGAAAGAATCTTAATGTTTTAAACAATGTAGCTGTAGTGCTTAAAGCACCCATAAGAATGTAATAATGTCCCACTTTGATCGAGTTGATTTTTCTGATTGGGATTGCTGAACTTAACCAACGAATGGCATTGTGGGCGTCACCAGAAATCTTTACAGGAACAAAGGCCATCTTTAAAATGGTGAAACCTTAATGAATCTCTCACAATGATTTGCACGCCAACAATTTTTGCTATAAACTTGATGGTGTTATGACAATCACCACATATTCTCAAGTTCTTAAACACCCTAATAGATGACTCACCGTTCAAATTAAGTATCCCAAAAGCAACAGCAAGCTTCTCACTGTGATTGCACAAACTGTCTTCCTGGTCTTCTGCATCCAAATCTTGTAAAACAAATTCAGTATCAGGCAAGTATCCTGCTAATTTCATCTTCTTGCGCATTTCATTCAAAAATTTATAAATTTCATCACTCTGATCGTTCTTTTTATCACCAACCACAAAAGTGTGCATTCTGTCCTTCACTTGAATCCAGCTGCAACCAGGCACTTTCTTTATTCCTCTGTCTCTCATCAGTTTCCTAATCTCTGACGCTTCTCCCCACAGTTTGGCAGTAACAAGGATGTTAGATAACAGAACATAGTTTCCCGGGTTGTTCGGTTCAACCTTAAATAGATGGCTTGCAGCAATTCGTCCTAAATCCACATGCTTGTATATACGACAAGCTCCAAGCAAGGCTCCCCAAGCACCAGCACTGGGCTCAATGGGCATATCTTGTATAAACTGATATGCCTCCATTAAGCGACCTCCACGACTTAGAACGTCAACCATGCAGGAATAGTGCTCCACATCAGGTTCAATATTGTGATACTTACTCATTGAATGAAAAATAGAGAGGCTCTCGTCTACCAGCCTTGAGTGGCTGCAACCAGATAGAACACCTGTAAAAGTAACAGAGTTTGGTTTAATCCCTGAGCTTACCATTTCATTGAAGTTAAACAAAGCTTCCTCTCCTCTTCCATGCATTGCGTTTGCAATAATTATTGTGTTCCAAGCAACAGTATCTTTCTTTGGCATCATGCTGAAAACTCTATGGGACAGCTCCAGTTCACCACATTTGGCATACACAAAGATCAAAGCCGTAGTTGCTGTTAGATCTTCATAAAACAAATGCCTAATGATATATGAATGAATCTCCTTTCCTCCCCTCAAGCTTTCCAAATGTGTGCAAGCAGGTAGGACACTTGTAATGGTGATTTGGTTTGGTTTGAATCCAAACTGCTGCATTCTGCTGAATATCTCCAGTGCTTGTTGTGTTTGTCCATTATCCATAAATCCACAAATAATGGCATTCCAGGAATCATAATTCAACTTGACTCCTCGATTTATCATCCGATCAAACATATTAAGTGCATCCTCACATTTTCCATTTGAGAAATATGCTGATATCATCACATTCCATGACACCATATCACGCAGGGGCATGTTATGAAACACCTGCTCAGCTTGCTTGATACTTGAACAACTAGCATACATATCCACCAGTGCACTATTCACAAACATGTTATCTTCCATACAATTCTTAATACCAAAACCATGAACCTCTCTACCCAAATTCAAAGACTTCAAAACTGAACAAGCGGGAAGTATGGTAGATAATGTCATAGCATTAGGCCTTGTTCCACTCTGACACATTGCACGAATTGCCCAAAGAGCGTCTCTCAGAAGCCCACAATTGACATAACATGAGCATAATGATGTCCAAGAAATCACATCCTTCACTCTCAAATCATCAAAAACTATCTTTGCACCCTCAATGTACTTGCATTTCCCATACATATCAATCATCGCATTCCCAAGAAGTAAATCTGAACCAAACCCATATTTGATAGCATCGTCATGGATCTCTTTTGCCTTAAAAACATCCCCTGATGTAGCACAAGCTTTGGCAACAGACAAAAGAGCCAACTTATCGGGATTAACTTTTCCCCTATTTCTGAATTCCGCATAAAGCTTAATTGCTTCTTTAGGATGACCCTGCCTCGTATAAGCCGTGATCAACAATGTCCACAATTGAATATCTGGTTCGGATATTTTATCGAACAGTTGGCGAGCACGTTTCAAATCACCAGAATTCAAATAATTTTTGATAAATTTGATGTTCAAATGAGGTGGAAGATTTGTGGGTATCTTTGAAATCATTCGATTTTCAAATGTAGCTAGGTGCCTTGTTTGGCTTCTGTGGAATCGTAGAAAACCGTAAAATTATACTGTTATGCAGCCTAACTTACCGATGCTCCCAACGGATTTAACGGTATCAACGTTATGGACCTGCGGGCATAATGTGAAAAATATTGGAAAAATTGGACATTTCATCCCGACATCCCCAATCTTCGGCACCCGTGCGCATTTAGTTCCAAACTTTCAAAATTGCATTTCACTCCCCAAAGTTTAGGACCATTTGCACATAGTCCTTTTTATCATTTTATGTCAAGTTCGGCATTAATATATCATGTTGATAGCACTATAAATTCATCTCGCTTATACGATAAGGTCTTGGGTACTAGTTGTTAAGTTAGAAGTCAAAAAAAAAATGTCAATATCACTAGGTGAATATTGACTATATTAGGTAAATTTTTGAATAAGCTTAAAAGTTTTATACAAGCATTTACCTATGTAAATGATTAAATGTCTATGTGAATATTTGAATATACTGAGTATTGAGTAAGTTCTAAAATATTTATTTAATAGTTAAATTTAAAAATAAAAAAAATTTAGTTATTTTGGCAATTCAACCCGTATTGTTTTTACTGAGAATAGAGTGAATAAATAAAATAATTCAAACATATTTGAAAAAAAAAATTTTTATCATTTTATGTCAAGTTCGGCATTAATATATCATGTTGATAGCACTATAAATTCATCTCGCTTATACGATAAGGTCTTGGGTACTAGTTGTTAAGTTAGAAGTCAAAAAAAAATGTCAATATCACTAGGTGAATATTGACTATATTAGGTAAATGTTTGAATAAGCTTAAAAGTTTTATACAAGCATTTACCTATGTAAATGATTAAATGTCTATGTGAATATTTGAATATACTGAGTATTGAGTAAGTTCTAAAATATTTATTTAATAGTTAAATTTAAAAATAAAAAAAATTTAGTTATTTTGGCAATTCAACCCGTATTGTTTTTACTGAGAATAGAGTGAATAAATAAAATAATTCAAACATATTTGAAAAAAAAAATTGTTTGAAAATAACTTCAATCACAAAAAAAAAAAAGAAAAAAAAAAGGAATTAGCCAAACGCTACTTGCTTTTAAAAAATTATGTAGTAAATAAAAAATTGTATATTGGATAATATTTAGAATTAAAAAGTTACTTATTTTAAACATTTTTGCTACTTTGTTATTAAAATATTTTGATTATAAGTATAAAAAATGGTAATCTATCTAATATTTTTGGGGTTTAGGGCACAATGATAAAATGATAGATGTGCACAAGTGCCTAAAAGTATTGGAACTCAGATGGGCAAAATTGAAAATCAATAGAAAGATTTTATAGATTTTGGATATCAAATTGAACACTTTATAAAGTGTGGGGGCAAAAATGGATGAAATTATAATTTTAAGGACTACAATAGAATAACTCAAATATGGAGGGAACAACTTGGATATTTTGAAAGTTGGAGAGCAAAAATTGACAAGATAGAAAGCTTGAAGACTTAACTTGTGAAGGATAAAAGTTCGAGGACCTGATGTGAAATTAAAAGATGAAAATTGAAAAATGTCAAAAACAAGTAAACAAACGGCAATTTCAAAATGTTTCTATTTAATAGTAATAGGTGATATTTCCTCTAAGGGGTGAAATGAGGCTATGTAACGCTTCCATATTTTTTTGGGGGAACAATACATATAACACACTCTTAGTATGCAGCATGTCAAAAATAACAAATATGGTCACATTTTCAAAAAAAAAAA